TGATTCAAAAATCGTACGACTCATACAGCAATCGCTATCACTTGACTTAAAATATGTTTGTCCTTCCTTGCCTTTAAAGGAGTGCCCTTTGCCGTGCTGATGTTGCTACATGCCTTACTTCTTGCCTATCTCACAATGCGAATTTTTTCTAAGCTCTATACTAAACATTAAATCTGTTACGAAAAAAGAACTAAACAAAATGAACACAAAACGATCAGCTTTAAAAAAGGACTCGTAACTGGAAAACCGAATGAAAAAAGAATGTTAACAACAAATACATTTTCACACCCAACCCAGTTCTGCGGAATCAGAATCAACGTTATCACAATTCACAGATAATAAAGAAAAGGACTACAGAGAGTCATAATTGCCTACATCCTGAAAAGACATGGCATTAAAAAAAATTCTACTATACAAGCGTATATCAGTAAGTTTGTCACATGACACAGACTTCTTAGCAGAATTTTTATCTGAAAGTTTCACTCTATAATGTTTTATCTATATGATTATTATTCACCACTAAATCAAGTGCATTGACAAGGAAAGTGATTACTGTTTTTAATGTCAATTTATAAAAATTCACCATGATTGACTGATTATGGAGTTAGGTTAAATATTTGAGAGTTTACATTATCTGAGTCAACAAGAAACCACTCCACTATGGAAAATGTTGTAATGTTGTCTTTGTTCAAAATAGCTGAGAATTATTAAGGTCGTAGTTAGAGAGAGTAACAAAGAAACGGAAGATTAGGTAGGAAAAACAAAGAAGAGGTTATTAAATACTCATACATAGAATGGAAGTACTTGAGTAAATTAAATACTACTCAAATCCCACTCTAATGTGGCTACTTGCCATATTTATAAGTTGTAGCAGTTCGTTAGCACAGCAGTAGGGAAGAAAGTACACTGAGTCCTATTCTACAACATCCACCTTTTAGTTCCTATTCCTCAATCTTACTGAATATGATTGTTTACTTGGATTCACCCTCATCCAACTGGTACATTTTCTTTTTCCTGCCGTGGCTCCTATACTACTTCGTTTGGTGTTATGGCAGCCACAGACAGACAACCTTTTCTCAACATAATCTGTCATATATTTATAAGTCTACCATTCGTCCTTGCTTTGAATATCGCTGCCACCTCTGGTCTGATGTTCTTTTATTGTCTGATGTTATTTAGTGATTCTTGATAAAATCCAAAGAAGAATCTGCAATGTTATTGGTTCCGAACTGGCATCTCGGCTTCAATCACTTTCCCACCACTGTAACGTAGCTTCCCTGTGTACTTTCTATAAATACTAACAGCATGGCCCGGCGTTGCCCGTGCTTGATTCAAAAATCCTACGACTCATACAGCAATCGCTATCACTTGACTTAAAATATTTTTGCCCTTCCTTACTATTGCTACATTGCCTTACTTCTTGCTTATCTCACAATGCGAATTTTTCTAAGCTCTATACTAAACATTAAATCTGTTACGAAAAAAGAACTAAACAAAATGAACACAAAACGATCAGCTTTAAAAAAGGACTCGTAACTGGAAAACCGAATGAAAAAAAAGAATGTTAACAACAAATACTTTTCACATCAACCCAGTTCTGCGGAATCAGAATCAACGTTGAGTTTAAGCAAGCGAATGAGCCAATTGGAGTAAAGTGCCATGCAGATTTAAATTTTTTCCCACTTGTGACGAATGCAGCTATCGATTTTTTTGCATGCTAGCATGCTAGTTAACATTCGTGTCAGTCAGCTGTTGGCTCTCACGCTGGTCAATAGAATCTTCCTGTCTATTCGTGGCAGCCAGCTATAGTCACTCACTCTGGCCAGTAGAAAATGGCCGCAAACTACATGAAAAGTGCCGTAAAAGCCTGAAAAAATCGATTAATTTCCACCATCGATGGGAGTTGGGAAATGCAAAGTCGGTCTTGGCCTTCCCGCTAACTTGGAGAATGTGCATGTAAATTTTGGTGCAAATCCGTCGAAAATTGCGGTCGTGCATTCATTACGCACACACACACACACACACACACACACACACACACACACATCTTGCCTTTTATAGATAGAGATTATAAGCGCATGTTGTAATCGATTCTTACTTACAGTCTTTTATTCTTGAACGCACTTCCTCATGGAACGTTCGAATCAAGTCCGGTCTTCCCTGGATGATCTTTCTGGCGAGGACCATTTCATTTTTGGATGAATATTTTGTAAAATTTAAAATGACTGCGTCTTCCTTGCTGGACTTTGAACAAGAGAGAATATTGTGCAGAGGGATCTTCACTGAAAAAGAAAAGGAAAAAAATAAATCAAAACAACATGGAAGAAGTTGGAATAGCCATTTCATTTTAAACATAATTAACATTAGAACATATAAAAATCCATCGTCTTTTGTGTTAAATTTTTATATGTTCTAATGTTAATTATGTTTAAATGCAAATGTCCATGAAGATGGTCTTAAATAGACCGAAAAGTCCGACGTCGACTTTATATTAACATTAATACAGCATAATTGCATATTAAGATTTTTGTTTGTTTTTTTCTGTATTTTTCTTCATACTGTCGGATCTATATCCATATATATATTTGCTATATATATATATATATATATATATATATATATATTACCAACAATACCTATTTATATAGCAAAATGACCAAAAACACTATTTTATCTATAATTGAAGCCATAAAGTAGTGTTCAAAATATTTAGATTTCGGTATTAAATAACCCATAGAGGTTGATATATACAAAATACCGATATGATCGTAAACGACGATTACGGAATCTATACAAAAGATTTAACAAATCAACCCGCCAGCCAATAACCGCTTTCACGCCATGACTGACTAAGTCGAAGATGTTCCTCACAGTAGGTCCCCATTTCTTTCTGCGGTAGACCTGATGCCATCCAAGGCAAGAGAACCCAGGCTGTCCTACTATTTATCCATAGGTGGGGAACAGAAGAATTAAATTCATACCTTTTCAAAGGGTATTAGCATGTAAGTGAATATAATGAATTCGACTGGAATTCGAACTCGGCTCTCCGATTCTATTACACTACCGTGCCTCTTATATATTAGCTATGCTAATTAGACAGCATTTACATATCCAAAGACAAAGATACAACTGGGGTGCGCCCTGTTCAAAGACAGACATACAAATGGAAAATGATATGCCCAACTCCACGAGAGAACCTCCCTGTGCCTGCTTGGTCACATGCTGACCACTGACCTGAATTGAATCTATAGCTTCATTGAATCTATAGCTTCATCTACCGCTAGGAAAGTAGGTTCTCTGTGTCGCGCCAGAAGGTTCTTCTCGCCGGAGTCCATCCTTCAAATCTACAAATCAACCATTCGTCCTTGCATGGAATACTGCTGCCATATATGGTCTGGTGCCCCCGCTGTTCATCTCGAGGTCCTAGACAAAATCCAGAGACGGATATGCAACGTGGTTGGTCCTGATCTGGCATCCTGTATACAGTCACTATCTCATAGACGTGCTGTGGCTTCCCTCTGGCTTTTCTGCAAGTACTTTCATGGCAACTGTTCCTACGAGCTACTTTCACTGGTTCCCAAACTGCGTGAATTTAAGCGTGCTACTTGGTTGGCATTTCGGTCCCACCCTTTCACTGTCGAAATGACTAAATATAGCCATCTCTTCTACTCCAACTTCTTCTTATCTCGCACCTCCCCTCAGTGGAACTCTCTTCCTATCCCTTTCTTCCCTGATAGCTATAATCCTCAAATATTCAAATGTAATGTCAATCGACATCTTCAAGGCCTTGACCTTGACACCTGTTTATCCTTTTCCCAAACACTTCTCTTTACTCTTACTCTCTGTAACCCCTTGTGTGCTAGTGGCACTCCTACCTTGCTTGGGGCGAATTGTTTTAAAAAAAAAGAAAAAAAGATACGACACACAGAATCTCGCAAGTTCGACACGTAAAACACGCGCATCATCTTCTACTCCTTTCTGCTTATAGTGTCTATGCTAATTAATATGCTAATTAGGCATTCATTTACATATCACTACACATAGTATACACATTGAACAAGTTGGAAGAACTATCAATATTATTACATCATTCCACGTTAAAAAAAAACAACAAACTTTGAAGGATTAGAAGACTTGTCGCACATCCATGAGTTAGCAAAGGACAACTATATTTATCCGGCCTTCCCACAAAGGCTGGATATGACACAAGATCGTTTTAACGTGGGGACCATGATACACATACTGATGTATATGGGCCAAGCATTTTTGCCCAGCCCCGGTGACCACTGTCAAGCTGTCATCGGTATTGCACCGACCCAACCTTTTCAGTGCGATGAGGAAGGCGCCGCGGTGGGGTTAGAATCGCAGGGGTTGAACAACTTCTGTCATATAAAATGAAGAGAATCATTGCTTTACTTACAGAACGAGGAGCGTTAACCACGTCTCAGTAAACCCTCATTGGCAATGGTTAACTTCTGTGTCAGGTTAGCAAAGGACAGGGTGATTTGGAGAGGACTGCTAATAAGTATTAACAAAATTCCTGAAGATGAGATTTGTAGTGTGTCATCAAGTCGAAACAGCTTTCACGATCATAATCATGATGCCAGTGTAGAAAAATGAATTTTGCTTTAAATAGGCAGGCGTTATATTAAAAAAAAAACAAAAAAACAATGGTTGTAATATCAAAAAGAATATTGTTAAAATTATTTACCATTTGACAGTCGGCTGGCACGTTTTACAGTTACATGGCTGTTGTCAATTTCAACGGTCGAAAAAGAGGATTCATTTTTCGACATGATTTCGGCTGCGAGCAATTTGCATTTTGTTAAATGCCACGTTAAAAACTTTTCCGTTAAAAAAAAAATCAAATGGACTTTGCTGAAACAGTGTTGTCTATTTATCTATCGATACAGTTGTATATATTTCGTTGGAGATTTGCGTTTCTCTTACGTTTTTGTTCTACGCGTGTTGATTGGTTCACTGCGGCAAGTCATGAATATTCATGACGTGTTTGTTCGTAAACTTCTTATTGAAGCGGAGAAAGAAAGAAAGTGGGAAAGAGAGAAGAGACAAGAGGGAAATGGAGGAAAGAAAAAGAGAAGCGAGAAAAAAGAAAGAGGCGAAAAAAGAAAGAAGAAAAAAAAGAGAGAAGAAAGAAATGGAAAAAAAAACTATAGTGAAAGAAAGAAAGAAAGGAACAAACAAACAAACAAGACGGAGTGAAATGAATGAAAGAAAAGTGTAAAGAGAAGAGAGAAATGGAAGAAAGCAAAAAGAAATAAAGAAAAGAGAGAAGTAAAAGAAAAAGAAAAGTAAGAGAAGAGAGAATGAAAAATTTTAAAGGGAGAAGAGAAAGAAAAAGAGCCAAAGGAGAGACAGAGAGAAAGAGTGAGGCAGAGAGAGAGAGAGGAGTTGAGATAAAAATAAGCAAAGTAAAAAGAGAAATGGACAAAAGAAAAGGAAAGAAATAATAGTGATGTTAAAGGGAAAAAATAAGAGAAAAAAATGAAAAAAAAGAAATAGAAAAAGAAAGAAAGAATAAACCAGAAAAGGGGGGAAAGAAAAGAGAAAAACAAAAAAAAAGACGGAAAGAAAATATCAAAAAAAAAAAAAAAATGAAAAATAGCAAAAAAGAAAAGAAAGAAAAGGATAGAAATGAGAAATGAAAGAAAAAAAAGAAAAAAAGGAAAGAGAAACACGAAAGAAAGAAAAAAAAAACCAAATAAACAAGCAGGCAAGAAATTAAAAGAGGGCTTCGAGATCTCATTTTACAATCGAAATGGTCAACTGTTACCGTAAGTTCTATGCTAACAGTTTCTTCTATCACACGTCTCACTTGTGGAATTCTTCCAGTCAAATTTAATCTTCAAAAATTTAAATGCAATGTTAATCGTCCTCCTGATCACTTTTCTTTTATTCTCACTCTTTAGTAATGTTTCTGCTTTCTAATTGTTCCACACCCAGTAACCCCTTGTGTCTCAGTGGCTGCATTGCCTTGCTTAAAAAAATAACGTTAAAAGTAAAAGAATGAAATGATAGGACAGAAAGGAAAGAAAATATATCAATAAAATATAAAAACCTCAGAAAAAAGAAAAGAAAGTATGAAAATTTAAAAAAATAAATATTTACCCAATGCAAGCGCCAAGAGCCACTCAAGTTAGGGAGTTATTGAATACGATCGCCGTATGAAGGTAAGTATGCGCTGATTATGAAGACAGATAACGTTTGACTTAAAGAGGTTAAGATTGTCGCGATCAGGGAAACATCCTCTTGGGAGTCTGTTCCACAATGTAGGTGTTCTCAGAAAGAAGCTACGTGAAACGCTCTTCTTGTCTATGGAAGAGAAATGGAATTAGAATGATTCGATGAAACATGGCGATTCCTAGTTGTAAAGGTTTGAACAGGTGAATAAAGGAATTTAATTCTACCCGTGGAGTAATGGATAGCGGCTCGGACTGAGGAATCGGAGAGCCGAGTTCGAATTCCAGTCGAATCCATTACATTCACTTACGTGTCTAATACCCTTAGGAAAGATATTCGTTTATTTCTTCTCCTCCAAGCTATGGGTAAATAGCAGGACAGACCGGGTTCTATAGCCTTGGATGGCAACTTGTCTACCGCAGAAAGAAATGGCAACTTACTGAGGGGAAAAAAACATCTACCTCGTTAGTCATATATCTAAAGATACATGATCGCCTCAGCGTGTATCACGCATGGTACATAACTGACTGACTGACAAGGCTAGAAAGTGCGGATTGGGCAGTTCCAGTCCTGATATGGTCAGAAATACTCCATTTTCTGGTCTGATCTGGTTGGTGTAAAGAGAGAACGTGGTAGGATGTGTCAGATACTTTCTGGGCAGGTACAAAAAACTGTCGTAAGCTGTTAGAATTTCAATTTATTAACTCAAACGGAAGTGACTACTTCGACATTCACAGCTGATATGGAAAAAAACATACAAAAAAAATTGTTTTTAAAAATAACAAAAACACGGACTCACTTCCGGAACACCATCTAAAAATACCACAGTCATAAAACATCTTTTTCTGAAATCGTCATTAGTATGACGATAAACTACATCCGGCAACATGGCCTCTGACCAGGAGGCGAGGGGGTGGGGAGGAGGTTGAAGGCGTAGGACCACCTCTTCATTATTGTTGTTCCCAGATCCATCCTTGCCCGGGGTGGTAGCACCTGCCAGCGTCCTATCTAAGGGTAAATACAGCCGCTATCTAAAACTGGGATCAAAATACTATGAAAGTATACAAATACATTTTATAGTAAAAATACCAGCAATAGATTTAGTAAAAAAAAAAAAAATACCAAAGCTCGCAAGAAAATTAATTTTGGCAATATATGACCCATAAGGTGTTGATATGCCGTTAAACAAACAAACCAGACAAGAATCTTTTTTGGCCAATCAGAAAAGACCATCACGGTTTTTATAGCAGTCTTGTCTAAGTCACTGACTCTTCTTCTTCTTCTTCTTCTTCTTCTTCTTCTTCTTCTTCTTCTTCTTCTTCATTATGTGCTGTGTCCTCTCAAAACGTAGGCAATCATGGCTCTCCACAATTTCCTGTCCTTTGTAGCTCTTAATAAATTTTGTCTTTTTGTTATTTCTCCTAAACCTTGTTCAGCCATCCATTTACTCAAACTTATTATTTATTTTATGCGCTGTTTTCCTTTGTCCCTCGTGCTCTCAATCTGTCCTGCGAGTATCAGATTTTCCAAGTCCTCCTTCCTCATTACGTACCCCAGAATTTTGAACTGTATATAAGTATAAGTTTCCTTTTCGTTCTGAACCCCTGAGGAGTGTTTCGCATCACCTTTCGGGTTGTACACGTCTCGATGTTCGAATCTCCGTCTAACCTCGTCTCTTCCACACTGCATCTTTTTTTATGCATAGCTTCATATTTATATCATTTTCTACCCCGTGTCTGGGACACAGCGCCCACGCTACAATTTCCTGTCAGGTGTTTTTGAATGACGTCTTACCATTCCTAGTTCAGATCTTGATCTGTACCGAGGTCATTCCCTCAAAGCATTTTAAAACACATATTTGTAAACACTATTTTTAAAATTTTATCCATCCCTTTTTTAAATTTCGTAAAGACCTGGGTATCAAATCTGGATTCCCAAGACTCTTAAATTCTGCTCATTTAGAAAATTGACGCAGCACAATCTTCCTGTAAATCTTCTTCATATTTAGCCTTTTGTCATGCTAAGCGTAGCATAATGTAAGTATTTGATAGTAGAGACGTTTGTTGCAGACCCGGCAGCGTGCAGTGCTGGTTTATTACAAAGTGGCCTTGTGCCAGACACCACACTAAACTACCGAGTCCACAAACAATGTATATAAAAAAAAATGTGTGAATGAACAGTGAGAGGAAAGGAGTCAATCGACAGGTGCATAAATTATAAACTTCAAAGAGATCTGGATGCAAAACATGTGTAATTTTTTATTAAATGGAAAAAACAAGTAGGTATCTCGTGGTACGAGATCAAAGAAAATGTTCCGCGCCAAAATAGGAAAGCAAGATGAACAAGGCGGGAAAAAAGGGTTTTATAAGGTTCTGGAAAAAGGAACTCGTTAAACACGAGGTGTATGTGCGCACAGATAGAAAGGAGTACTCACAGTGGATTTTTGGCGTTGAGAGTGTATGTGATTTTGTGTTTTTTTATCTTTTTTTATGTTCAGGTTCAAAGTAGAGAGAAAGTTCAGTCGTCTCAGAGTTTGGTCAGGCCTTGAATTAACTGTTGAAAATGTTAACGGATTGCTGTGGACGTCTAGCCAAAAGGACGAAGAGTTATTTGCAGTTGGTTGCATCGTCTATGAGAAGTTACTTATGGCGAGTCCAGGAGGGACGGAGAATATCTGTTCATCAGTAAGATATCCCTGTCTGTATTTAAGATTGACTGACGAGGGATAAAAATAAGTCACTTGTTGAATACGAAATTTTGCCCACGACTGTGTCGTGTGTCTCGCACATTTTCTATCAGAAAACGCAGAAGGTCTGACCTGCGGGTAGCAAGTTTGTTCGTCAGTAAGATATCCCTGTCTGTATTTGAGGTTGACTGACGAGGGATAAAAATAAGCCACTTGTTGAATACGAAGTTTTGCTCACGACTGTGTCGTGTGTCTTCTGGTCGAAAACGGAGAAGGCCTGACCTGCGGGCAGCTTCAAGACGAGAAGAAATCTTGGTACAGTGTGAGGTCGACATTGTTGAAATAAGATATTCCGGCCCGCATATGGGTTAAGGGCACGGAATAAATAAGTTGCCCGTCTAGTTAGGTCGAAAGTCGGGAGGCAACTGGCTTGCAAACGCTGTTCGCTGTTAGGCTGACTTCATCAGTAGGAGCTAGCGAAGTTCCTCCTCCAGATTACTGCTACGTCTAGCTGTGAGAGGGAGGAAGGGGTGCAAACCGCGAGCACACACGCACGAGTGTGAAAGGAAGGGAGGAAAACTCGCGCGCGCGTAAAATGTAGATGGAATTAATGTGTTAATTCCATACGTTCACCTATCCCCCGAAAAACACTCCTCCCCAGGAGCATAGGTTTATCACATGTTTCCCGTTTAGGGTTGGGTTTCTGGTTCGTTCTAAAGTCCACTTCAAAACTTTACTTCTAACATGTCCACATAAACACGGAAATGTCATTTACTAATGATGTTTTTTCTCTCCTCAATAGGAGTAGAAGGGTTCGCCTATCGACTGGCTCAAACTCTTCTATTTGAAGACGAGTAAAAGTTTATCCCTTGTATCTTGTGTAGAGTGGGTTTCCAGTTCCTTCTAAAGTCGTTCCATTCGCTTTCACTTCCAGTGGCCCTTGCGTTTTGGTGGTATTGTCTCCTTGCGAATCGATTAAATAATAATAAAAAGAAGAAGAAGACCCATTCGGAAGCAGCGGTGTGCTACATCGCATGGAAAATACCGGGAAGCATTTCAAAAAGATAAAAATGAATCCATTTTATTAAAAATCAAATTTTGGACTGATTAATTAACGTTTTCTACGAAAGGAGCTTATTGATCGAAGGGAAATAATTCATAATTACTTAAACTTACAAGGGCGATAACTACGAAAAATATAACATAAGTCTATCAAATTTGAAGTATTTCCCATCACAAAAGACCTCATTTTCCAGTGATATTTTCCAGAATGTGATCAGAATTTTGAATTTCTCATAAGTAACAATTCAGCGAATATTTTTGTGTTGTTCCTGGTCTTCCTTTATCTGATTTACATCCGAAAAAATATTATTTCGCCGGAAGAATTATTTTAATGTTAATGACCCTCCTCAAAACTATAGAAGATACCAAAATATTCTATGTTTTTCGGGTATATTTATATCTTTCTGAGATGAGGTATTATGTACATTATTTACATTATTCCGACTATTGTCCTCATCTTTTTCGCCATATTTATTACAACTTTTCGGCCGTTGTACGCTCCGGCTTTCTTCAGGTGGTTGGAATGTCGAATGTTATTTCGCTCACGGGGGTAGATTGTTCTAGTTCCACGTGCCATGTTTAATGGATACCGGTTATCAGTTATCTCCTGTTAATTCCCCTCTCCAAGTTCTCCACCGCCTTAACCAGGTATTGAACTCACACTCTTTGGGTCCTGTCACTGGATCTAACAAACGCCTTTATCCACTGTGCCATATGTCCTTGATGAACCAGGAACTTAGACACTCCTCATTTAAAAAATTGGTGCAGCCCAATCTCCTTGTTAATCTTTTTCCTATTTAGCCTTTTTGTCATACTATGCATAGCATAATGTAAGTATTTAATAGTAGATACGTTCATTTTCTTATATATATATATATATATATATATATATATATATATATATATATATATATATATATATATATATATATATATATATATATATATATATATATATATATATATATATTTTTTTTACAATTGAATTAATGGCACCTTTATTTAATGACTATTTTTCACTTTTCAATTTTAATTTTAAAATTCATGCAGGATTTTTCAAACTGTTTATGGTATCAGTGATGTCATAAGCAGTTTGAATAATCCTGCGAATTTTAAAATTAAAAGTTCTTAGTAAAATGGTCATTAACTAAAAATATCTTAATTCAATTGCAAAAAAAATTTGCTTTGTTTAATATAAATAAACATTCCGCGCTCTTTTGTTAATCATTTTTAACATATTTCAAATTCTAAATTGTCTTAATTGGACTCACCTGGATTATACTAACTGATTACTACCTGTATTCCCTATATATATATATATATATATATATATATATATATATATATATATATATATATATATAAGCATATATGGATATAAATCCGACAGTATGAAGAAAAAATATATACGGAAAACAAACAAAAATCCTACATACAACTATGCTTTTCCAATGTTAATATGTCAACGTCGGACGTTTCGGTCTAATAAAATAATAATCTTTTCTTTTCGAAACGTCCGACGTTGACATATTAACATTGGAAAAGCATAGTTGTATGTAGGGATTTTTGTTTGTTTTTTCCGTATATATTTTTTCATATATATATATATATATATATATATATATATATATAACCGAACGTATAAAATTATGTTCAGTTTAGATTTTGGCATTAAATGACCCATAGAGTATGATGTGTCTCCAAACAAAATCAACCAACTAAACAATGAACATCAAAGAATTCTTGTTGGGGTCTTTCTTTCTTGGCCTAGGAGAATCTTCTATCTGGAACTAATGGGGGAGGGTGGCGAAGAATCCACTACGTGAGTGGCTGGATTTGTGGTCTTGGGCGCCAACCCCGAGTTTTCGCTTACCTGTCGACTGGTTCGGAATAGGTTATCTCAATGACAATGCCTTCATATGGGGTTTAGCGGATTTGTGAACGATGTGACCTTGGGTTAAAGGAAACGGCTTCGCACGCCTTCAACCATTGTCCTCAGGTCCGCCCCCTATGGGTCCATGTCAGCGAGTTAACGGCTCGTATCGCTCCCGAAAAGCTCGTGCTCATTGATCGTGCATACGCGTGTGATAATGTATCGCCCCTGTCTTCTGGGGGTGAAACGAATGGTGTTTCTATCGTTGCTGGCCACGGCTCGAATGGTGATTTGGACGACGTGACAGAAGTCTTGAAAGGCAACCGTCTTTCTCATCAGGATCTGATCCGATTCTTTGAGCATCAGCTCAAGATGAAGATTAGAACTGATAGAAAACTGTTGGTTTCGACAGACTTTAGCGAGAGGTGGGTGACTGAGGCGAGCTTGGTTCGTGTGAACGGGGCTAGCCTCGATTTTCTTTTTTAGGTTTACCTAATTCACATCGGGGTGGTTTCCTGTAGAGCCCTCCCCTGGTTAGGATAGACAAGCTTTGTATACCTAGTTAATGTGAGTAAGTGTTGTTCCTAGCCTGTTCCCGGTTAAATATTTGGTTATGATCAAAGGTGAGATTCCCAACCAGTTTGTTTTGATCCACTTTTATCTCGACTGGGTCAGCTACTACTCCCTTTCTACGTATTTAGTTTCTACTTTCCCTCACTCTTAGCGAGAGAGCCTCTTGATTTTGTCCAAGGACAGAATACAGCGGCCCCTCCTTTTTGAGGGCTGGACGGGTCCTACTAACATCAGTTATCTTTATTTGGTTTGTTTTGATATTTAGTTTGTTTTTTGGTTCATTGTAAATCATCCATAGATTTTTATGTATAAATCTTTATGACCATCAAATTTTTATGTCCTGATGTGCGTTTTGTAGGACCCTCTCGTGAGGATGCGGTATTATGGTGTATGAAGGATTGATTGGTGACGGAAGAGTTCTTGTGGTGAATATGCAAATTTCAATGAGTTAATCGGATTAGCTAGGTATAAGATAAATAATCAACCCGTTCCCCCTTCTTATACAATAA